CATTTCTTCACATCCCTGTGAGCACTTGTCATTTTCTATTTTTTTAAAAAAATATTAGCCATCCTAGTAGGTTTGAAATGGTATATCATTGTGGTCTTGATTTTCATTTCTCTGATGACTAATGATATTAAGCATCTTTTTCTGTGCTTATTGGCTGTTTATACGTCTTCTTTGGAGAAATGTCCATTCAAATTCATGAGCATATTTTAATTGACTTATTGTATTTTTATTGTTGTGACTTCTTTACATATTCTAGATACAATTTCTTATCAAATATGTGATTTGAACATTTTTTTCTCATTATGTAGATTTTTTTCACTTTCTTGATTGTGTCCTTTACAATTACAGAAGTTTTAAAATGTTGATGACATCCAATTTATTCTTTTGTTGTTTGTGTTTCTGGTGTCATATCTAAGAAACCATTAACTAATCCAAGATTATAAAGATTTGCCCCTGTGTTTTCTTCTAAGAGTTTTTAACTTTTATCTCTTACATTTACATTTTTGGTCCATTTTAACTTTTATGTATGATGTGAGGTACAGGTTGAACTTCATTTTGCATGTGGATATCCAGTTGTCTGAGTACTATTTGTTGAAGAGATTATTCTTTTCTTACTGAATTGTCATGGCAACCTTGCTAAAAATCAGTTGACCATATACATGAGAGATTTTTTCTGGACTCCCAATTCTATTCTATTGATCTATTCTTCTGTTCTTATTCCAATACCATACTATGTTGGTTACTGTAGCTTTGTCATAATTTTTGAAATCAGGAAATGTGACCACCTTCTTTTAACCACACCCTTTGCAGTTGTTCCTTCTAAAGAAGAGTATATTGCCCCACTGCATGCCTTTGGCTGAACTCTGTGACTTACTTTGGCCCATGGAATAAGGTAGAAGTGACAGTGTGATAATTCCAACCTAATCCTTAAGAGGCTTTGTGTATTTTGGCTTTTCTTTTGACCCTCTACACTAACCCAAGTTTACCCAATGGTCTTAGGAAAATGCAAGTCATGTAGGGCAGAACTACCTACCTCAGCCAACCCTAGACCTACAGGAGAGCATTCCTAGCTGCTTCACTGTGCATCAGAGATGCCCCACCAAATCAAGAGGAACCTCAACCAATCTGAAGACATAAGAAAAGAAGCCACCAGTTTCTGTAAGGAAAGCCTAGGATCTTCCATGAGAAGATGATGATGTACAAATTTCTTATCTGTATTAGTCATTTACAAACACTGTGCATGTCCATTGAGGATTAGCAGGGATTGAAACAATTAGAACAGAATCTCTACTCCATGGTGACTAAAGGAACCAGATTGAGTCTCTACCACCTGGTAGCTACACTCTGGAACTTGTAGCCTTTTCAGCTATCAAGATGAGAGTCAAGGCTAAGAATCTACCCTAGATGTCAAGAAAGACCCTGGGCATAATCAATGCTGAAGTGAAAAGGATCAACACTGGAGAGAAAAGAGGGGAAGAGGTAAACATAATGACAATCTGGAAGATGAATTGAATTTCATGGCAGTAAGGGAACTCAGGAAGTCATTCAACTATCTGGGTGTGAACCAACTAGGAGCAAGTGTCAATTCTTTATATGGGTCATATTTTTGGATCCTCCCTCATGGGAACTAATATCTTAAAGTGGGTTTTGAACAAAATTATGACACTTGAAAATATAGCAAATGAATATACATAATGTAAACAAGAATTTAAATGGAAAGTACTTCATTTGAAAAATTTTTTCAAAAATATTTTCAAAAACGTTAGCAGCAAATTCTAATAATAAATGTACTGAATAGACAGGCATTATCTGTCTATCCAAGTATTAACTCTATGAATTTTTCTATCCATTGAAGTACATATTTTTAGACATAATAAAAATGAATTTTCTTTAGAAAAATACAAATTGTATTTCTCTTCTTTTGGTGATCATCCTTAAATATGAACATAATGGGTTTAACAATTTAAAACTGATCACCATCACTCTTCTTCTGAATAATTCAAGGTTCTTAAGATGCTTTCACCTTTGTCTAACCCCTTTTCCTCTTCCATTCAGTTGTCTACTTTTGTAAATCCTCTTTGTTCTTTACTCCATTACCAATTTGTCTTTTTTTAGGTCAGTGTTTATTTAGATTTACATAATGTTGAGCACTTAATTTACTTATCTTCACTTCTTTTTGATTTTTCTAGATTAATCTTCTTCCTCCAAAGTACATTCTGTAGTAGCTCTGTCAGCAAAGTTCCATCTTTTTAGTTCTCACTCTTTTGAGAAATATTATTTTAAAAATTGTAATTTTTTTCATAATCATGGAAATTAACAATCACAAAGGCAGAGAAAATAGTATTAAACCTTTTTATACTCCTCAGTCTCAACAAACACACACATATGGCTACCTTTTTGAATTATAGTATTATTGAATATTGTTTAATTGAAGATATGTTCCTGGGTATTGTTTTGATATGGTGCCTATTAAAGCATAATTGTCTTACCTTTATAGCTTGGCACCATGGGCTTTTACAAATTGACATGTTTAATTCTGGAAAATTCTTTTTTTTTTCTTCTTTGAGACAGACTCTCGCTGGAGTGCAGTGTTGCAATCAACTCACTGCAGCCTCTGCCTTCAGGGTTCAAGTGATGCTCATGCCTGGCTGAATTTTTTTTTTTTTTTTTTTTTTATTTTCAGTAGAGAAGGGATTTTGCCATGTTGAGCAGGCTGGTCTTGAACTCCTAAGCTAAGGTGATCTGCCCACCTCGGCCTCCCAAAGTGCTGCGATTATAGGCATGAGCCACTGCGCCCGGCCGCTATCAACTTTTAACAAGCATTCTGCCTGCCTAGCTCAGCCAATGTGTTCTTTTGTAATTTTCTTATACCGTTCTTGGTTTTCAAAACAGACTTGGTACCAGAGCACACTGACCTTTTTCATTTGATGACCACAAAGAGGGCTTTGGATATGGACATTTGCGAGAAGCCTCTGGGACAGTCTCAGTATTAGAGACACTGGTTTCTCTCTCATATGACAAACAAGTGCCCAAAGTTGAGCTTCTCTGTCCCAGGGCCAACAGGGAACCTGGACTGGGCCTGCAGGGCCCAGAGAACATGTTAATTTCTTTCTTTCTTTCTTTTTTTTATGAGACAGTGTCTCACTCTGTTGCCCAGACTTGAGTGCAGTGGCATGATCTCGGCTCACTGCAACCTCTGCCTCCCAGGCTCAAGTGATTCTCCTGCCTCAGTCTCCCAAGTAGCTGGGATTACAGGCACGTGGCACAACCACCGGGTTAATTTTTGTATTTGTAGTAGAGATGGGGTTTCACTGTGTTGACCAGCCTGGTATTGAACTCCTGACCTCAAGACCTCTGATAATCAACCTGCCTTGGCCTCCCAAAGTGCTGGGATTACAGATGTGAACCACCACACATGACCTAATTCTGGAATATTCTTAGTCATTATCACTTCAAATATTTTATCTTCCATTTTGTTTCCATATTATTCTTACGGAATTCCTTTCAGAAATATTCTTGACCTTATCATTCTATTCTCTGTGATTCTTAGCTACTTTTCCAAAAAGTATTTTTGTGTCTCACTGCTATAGATTTGGTGATCTCGTCAAATCTACCTTCCAGAATAGTTATTCTTTCTTCAGTATATCTAATCAGCTCTTTAATTCATCCACTGAATTTTAAATTCAATGACTTGACTTTTTTTTTTAATTCTAGAAGTGCTATTTGGCTCTTTTTAAAAATTCTTTCATGGCTTATAGATAGTATAGAAACCTAAAGTTGTTCATTATAGTTTCTAATCCATTTTAACCCTTTAATAACTTAAATATTTATTTTTAATTTAGGTTTATTGCTGTAATACAAACATACAAAATGAAAATCATAAATGTAGATAAAATTAGATGAATTTTTTAAAATGAGCATTCCCTTCTAACCAGCACCAGATCAAGAAGCAAAACATTTCCAGAACCCCAGAAGTGTTCTCGTGCCCTCTTCTAGTCACACTTCCTACCTCCAAGATAACTGCTATCCTGACTTGTAGTGCCACAGTTTAGCTTTGCCTGTTTTTGAGTTTTATGTCAACTGAGCTATACAGTGCAAATATAATTATTTTGTGGGTTTTTTCTTCTCCAGATGATCTATATGCTCTTAATATTTATGAATTACAGAGATCATGTATACATTTTTACATTAATTTCTTGGCTCTTTTGCTTACTTTTGTCTTAGTGATTTTAGAAGTCCTGGATAAGTCTTCGTGTTAATTATTCGACTGGGAAATCTCAGGAGACATGAAATTGGATTTCTCACTTTAATGGTATAGACCTAGTGTTTTCATTCTTTTAGGGTTATTGCTTTTTGCCATCTAATTCCCTATGTCAGACTGCGTACTACCTTATTGCTTTTGTGTCCTCGTGAATGAAGTTTTTCCTATTCTCTTGTTATGGACAGGAAAAGATCCTTGAAGTCCCTGGGCTTTATGGAATATTATTAGCACAGCTCTCTAACCAGTGTCACCCTCAAAACATGTCACTTATCTTTGCCTGGACATGAAAAGCCCAGCTCAAAACTCCTTTGGCCCCTTATCCTGGTACAAGTTTCTTTTGGACCTTCACTGTGTCAGTTTCCACCTATATATTAATAGCTTTGCATTTCATGTGCTTCTGGCATCTGATTTTTTTCTTTATCTAAACGTTATGTATATGTGTACAACTTTAAAGTGTTTTTATTAGTATTTTTATATGTTTGTGAAGTTATGTAAGGGGGAGCGGGTAATATGGGAGGTAGACATCCAAATCAGATCAGTTTAGCACTCCTGAAAGATGAGCAGATCCATGCAATTGCAGTGACTATGCAGTGGTTGACTAGACGTAAAGAGGTTGTTTAGGGCTATCGGCTAGGGTGTTTCTTCTGGCCAAATTACTTGAACTGCATGGGGCCCATTATTTTACTGAGCTGATTTAGTCCTATATGAACTAACTCATATTTTTGTTTTTGTTTTACAGAAGCAGATTTCTAAAAATAATATTGAAAAGAAGAAGCCCAAACTTAGAAAAAGGAAAAGGTATGCTTTTTGAAATTAAATAGTATTATGATAAAATTGAAATATAGATTGGATTTAGTTGTTGCATGACCTTTCTCATAATCCTTGATTCTGTTTCACTTGGAAAATACTGTGTTTACAGTTTTCTAAAAGAATTAATACAATTATAAGTAGTAGTCTTAGAAGTAGGGAAAAAGCTTTATATTTATGAAATATTTTGAAATGGGACTTTTAGAGATTAATATCTTATGAGCAATCGGAAGAGAATCAGGTTTTTAGTTTAAAAATAGGTAATTTAAACCAGAAACAGGTTTTCATAATGAACTAATAAGCCACAGATGACAAGTTTTAGTGTTTGTCATTGAACCAGTCATTTTTAAAAGAATGGTAATCGGTGCTGTGTTAGGAGGGGTCCTACTCAAAAACAAGGACTGACACTAATAGGTAGCCCTTTTCTTCTTCCTTGTACTTTTTCAGAAGATGAATAACTAAATTTTAAAAATGGACTTTCACTGCCTTATTTCATTACACTTCACACTAGCCCTATGAGATAGTTAGGAAGTATATTATAATCTCCATTTTAAAAAATGAAGAATTCCTGGCTTGGAGAAGTTAGTGACTTTCTCAAGATCTGATGGTTAGAGAAAATACATTTGAGCAAATTTTTTTCTGACTCTGTATCAGCAACATAGAGTCATGGAAACAGTATGGATTTTGCAGTCTGACCGAGTTTAGTTCTGCCATGTTCCACCATTTACCTAAGTTGTCAAACTTCTCATTTTTCTCTGATATCTCAAATTCTCAGTTTCTTTATATAATGACAGTAACAATTAGTAGTTGTTTTGGAGGAGGATTATGAAAAAGCCAGTGTAAGGTGCTTGGTAAATTGTTAATGCTTTGCACCTAGTGAGAACTCAAATCAATATTAGTCTTCTTTGTTTTTCACTGCAACATACTTTCTTACTACATAAAACAACCAAGAGAATTACCTTAAGAAAATATATGTATTTATAATCTACAGTTACCAATGAATAGACATAAATAGTCATTTAAATATACATGATTGATCTTTTGAAACTAAATCTGTCAAATTCTTTTTCTAGGAGAGCAATTTTAAAATGCTCTTTTGAAAATGTTTGTTCCGATGATGCCTTATTGAAGGAAAACATGGGTATGTGAAAGCCTGTCCTGCTTTTAGTTCTTTAACCTATATTTAATTCCACAGAAAGTAGCTGTAGTCCTTTGAAGGAAAAAAAAAGCTCTCGTATGTGTGTGTATATATACACATATACACATGTACACATATGTATACATTTTTAAACATATATACTTGTGTGTATATATACACATATATATGAAAAATATTAATGAATCATTTTTGTTATTGATTTACATACCAGAGCTTTTAAATTTTCTTTAGGTTTCTATTTCCTTGAATTAAATTTTCTCTTAGTCATGTATTTAATTTTTTAAAATAACACACCAGGCCAGGCACAGTGGCTCATGGCTGTAATCCTAGCACTTTGGGAGGCTGAAGCGGGCAGATCACTTGAGGTCAGGAGTTCAAGACCAGCCTGGTCAACATGGTGAAACCCATCTCAACTAAAACTACAAAAATTAGCTGGCCATGGTGGCATGCACCTGTAGTCCCAGCTACCCTGGAGGCTGAGGCAGGAAAATCACTTGAGCCTAGGGGGCAGAGGTTGCGGTGAGACTGGGCGACAGAGTGACAGAGCGAGATTCCCTCTCAATAAATAAATAAAGCAGCAGCTGTGAGAAGAAATACCAACAACTATACATTTCAATCCAGACTTCTTCATTCCAAACTTACTGGGATCCTAGGAGTGCCAAAGGGAGAGAAGAAAGAAAAGCAGAAGCCTGGGGCTTCCAACTAAATTGTCCTTGGTTAGAACACAGTAGAGTGAATGTGGAATGCAGGGAGAAAGTTTTGGTTTTCTTTTCTTTTTTTTTTTTTTTTTTTAATTATTTTTTATTATTATACTTTAAGTTCTAGGGTACATGTGCATAACGTGCAGGTTTGTTACATATGTATACTTGTGCCATGTTGCTGTGCTGCACCCATCAACTCGTTGGTTTTCAAAGGCAATTTCCTCCTTCTACATTTTCTTTAGTCTTGAAAAGCAGTAAAATGCTTATTTGCAATGTGGAACTTTGGCAGTCATGTTCAAAGCCCATTAAACCCTGAGGAGTTATCAGTGATATATTCCCTTTTCCTTGAAGTCACTCCCAGGGGATCCAATGGCATTGCATTTAAATTGGCTAAATAAGTCAGTCGTTGTAGTGTTATTAAAAGAAAGGAAAGCCAGGTGCAGTGACTCATGCCTGTAATCCTAGCACTTTGGCAGGCTGAGGTGGGAGGATCCCTTGAGCCCAAGAGTTAAAGACCAGCCTGGACAACACAGTGAGACCTCATCTCTACTAAAATTAAGAAAATAAAATAAATTAACTGGGCATGGTGGCACATGCCTGTAGTCCCAACTACTGGGAAAGTTGAGGTGGGAGGATGACCTGAGCCCAGGAGTTTGAGCTTACAGTGATCTATGATTACACCACTGCACTCCACCCTGGGTTACAGAAAGGATGAAGTCGTTATTTTTTTTAAAAAAATAACTTGTTTTTTTAGACCCAGAATGTAAAATAGGAAAACTTTTAGATTCTAAGACTTTTCTTTTAGAAAACAAAAGAAAACCAAGTACTTTTTCCTCCTCATCACTCTTCTCTTTTATTAAAATACCTTCCAAATTTCAACATTGACATAGCCCTGCAAATTTATTTAGGATTTTTTTTTTTCAGTGCTAGCTTTGGGGTAACCCAACCAGTAGCTACTATATAAGAGAATGTGTTAGTCTGTTCTTGCATTGCTATAAAGAAATACCAAAGACTGGGTAATTTATAAGAAAAGAGGTTTAATTGGCTCACAGTTCTGCAGGCTTTCTAGGAAGCATGGTGCTTGGCTCCTGGGAGCCTTCCCAGAAGGCTTAAAATCATGGCAGAAGGTAAAGGGGGAGCAGGCATGTCATATGGCAAAAGCAGGAACAAAAGAGGGGAGAGTTGCCACACACTTTTAAATGACCGGATCTCATGAGAACTCACTCACTATCACAAGGACAGTACCAAGGGGATAGTACTCAATCATTCATGAGAAATCTGCTCCCCTGATCCACTTACCTCCTACCAGGCCCCACTTCCAACACTGTAGATTACAATTCAACATGAGATTTGGGCAGAGACACATATCCAAACTCTATTAGGAGGAAACAGCTTCTTAAACATTTAATAGACAAGTCTAGGTGAAAGAAAACTCCATAAACATATATTTGAAAGTTTTTAAAATAGTGACTGAGTTATTGAGACAAACTGTGAATTATTTCTTATCAGGAATGGAAAAACAACACTGATTTATTTTTCTACATATTAATTTTTAAAAGCTAGATATGGGGCCAGACGTGGTGGCTCACGCCTATAATCCCAGCACTTTGGGAGGCCGAGACAGGTGGATCACCTGAGGTCAGGAGTTCGAGACGAGCCTAGCCAACATGGTGAAACCCCGTCTCTACTAAAAATACAAAAAACTAGCCGGGCGTGGTGGCGGGTGCCTGTAGTCTCAGCTACTTGGGAGGCTGAGGCGGGAGAATGGCGTGAACCCGGGAGGCGGAGCTTGCAGTGAGCCGAGATCACGCCACTGCACTCCAGCCTGGGAGACACAGCGAGACTCCGTCTCAAAAAAAAAAAAAAATACAAAATCTAGCTAGGCATGCTGGCATGTGCCTGTAGTCCCAGCTACTCAGGAGGCTGACCCAGGAGAATTGCTTGAAACCGGGGCGCGGAGGTTGCGGTGAGCTGAGGTCATGCCACTGCACTCCAGCCTGGGTGACAGAGTGACATTCCATCTCAAAAAAAAAAAAAAAAAAAAAAAAAAGGCTAGATATGGACTTTGCTATTACAGATACATATTTTTTCTTTCCTTTCTTTTTTTTCTTTTTAACTTTCTCTGAGTGATAGAGTAGCTGTAATGCTACCACTTCACTCTCAACAATAAATTGAAACAAGTCAGAGAGACTACAAGATAATCAGTGTTGATAGAAGATGATGGGTCATGCAATCAGCAAAGGCATTCATTTTGTCCGTATCTTTGGAGGATATCATTGACCAATTTTGATAACATAGTTTGTAGATTACAATAACTGCTATTTTTTGAGAATTATTTTTTTAAGTTCATTTACAATATAGGAATACTTATTTAGAAAAGCAAACCTCCCACTACTCTGGAAGCAGAAGCTGACAGCAGTCAGGTTGGTGTTGTAAACCCTAGTTAACTTATGAAGTCATCCATTACTTTGTCTAATTTTGATCAAAAGGCAGTGTACATATTTCTTCAGATCACTTGCAAAGAGCCTACAATGCCATTTGGCAATGATATTTATTATCATAAATTGATTGTATTTTAGCCTAACATTAGAAATATAAAGGTGTTTGTTTGCCGTTTTTTCTTTTACAGCATAGCTTCAAACCTATCTTCTCAACAGTGTATTAAATGTCATTGTCAATTTCCATAGACTCAGAATGTAAAGTAGGAAAACTTAACATTTGTGAGTGGAACTGGGGAATTGGTGTGAAAATAACCATGAGCAGTCATCTATTTAATTCCACAGAATGTAGTTGTAGTCCTTTGAAGGAAAAAAAAAGCTCGTGTGTGTGTGTATATATACACATATACACATGTATACATATGTATACATTTTTACACATATATACTTGTGTGTATATATACACATATATATGAAAAATATTAATGAATCATTTTTGTTATTGATTTACATACCAGAGCTTTTAAATTTTCTTTAGGTTTCTATTTCCTTGAATTAAATTTTCTCTTAGTCATGTACTAGTCAGGTATATAGTCTATTATACTAGTCATTATATAGTCAGGTTACTAAATAAGAAATCTGTCTTAAAGTGGGTGTTAGTTTTATTAACAAAAGTGCTTCAATAAAAAACGTACATTCCTCTAGAAAATCCTGATTTGATAGACATGGCATTGTTATATTTTTAAATAAACTCTCCAGGTGATTATTATGCCCACACAATTTTGAATGCCACTGTTTTAGAATCTAGCATTCTGTATTCTGTGTTCTTAGGCCTTAACAGTAACCCGAGAACATAGATCTATGTGGAGGCAACTAACATGTTAATTACAGGTTTTGCTTGTTTGTTTTTAAACATGAGAACTTTTTATAAGATGTGGAGTTGCTTATCAAAAAGCTTGTTTCAAACTATTTTGAAAGAGGTTTTCCATAGAGAAAACCTAAAATTGACTAGGAGGAGGCGATAGCTAGGAAGGCTTATTAGTCTATGCCTGTTTTCTCGTGTTCCTGCCCCTTAGTAGGTAAACAGTAAATATTTGTTGATTGAATATGAAAGTGCTTGGGGAAAACAGTAAATATTGACAGAAAAATTATTTTCAAGACAAACTTGTGTTGTGAAAAATATAAACTAAAAGTAGTTTTTCCAGAACTGTAATGACAAGAACCAGGAAATGGAAACCTATTTCATAACCTGCTATGATTTTATTTAACATTATTTAATAAGTACTTTAGCAGAATTTTAAATTTTCCTGCTTATGTCCTGCTTGGGTATTTTCATGTTCCGTGACCTTTCAGCTGCTCTACTAGGTGGGATTTTTGCTGACTTGCCCATGAACTGCAGATAATAGAAGGTGGTATGTTAGATTTTACTAACTAGTGGGAGATGAAGGGATGTGTACTCACGGCCTTTCTCTCTGAATTATGTTGTCTTTGGAAGAGCTTCTCAGATGCTCCATCTGCCTCTGGTGCAAGACAACAGGCATGTGGCCTTCCTTCTTTGAAGCAAAGGCTTCACTAGGCCCTCTATAAAATGAAAATGTTTGTTTTATTTAAGTCAAAAATGCAAATGCATATTTTTAATCAGTAGTTAAGTCTACAGTTATAGTAGGCTTTTATTTCTTTGGTGGGGATATTGTTTTATCTCAGCAAGGTCAATGAATTACCAGATTTTTTTTTTTTTTCGAGACAGAGTCTTGCTCTGTCGCCCAGGCTGGAGTGCAGTGGCGCAATCTCGGCTCACTGCAAGCTCCGCCTCCTGGGTTCACGCCATTCTCCTGCCTCAGCCTCCCGTGTAGCTGGGACCACAGGCGCCCGCCACCACGCCCGGCTAATTTTCTTGTGTTTTTAGTACAGATGGGGTTTCACCATGTTAGCCAGGATGGTCTCGATCTCCTGACCTCGTGATCCACCTACCTCGGCCTCCCAAAGTGCTGGGATTACAGGCATGAGCATGTCACGGTGACTTTTATAATACAAAAAGACTTTTATAAATGCAGTATTAAAAAAAAATAGATTAAGCAATTAAGATGTGTTGCCATTTGGATTAGGAAGGCACTAGCTTGTGTTCAGCCTAACCACTTAATTACAAAACTTTTCCTTTTAACAGTAGTTTAATAATCTATAGTAGAGATTGGCAAACTGTGGTCAGCAACTGCTGCCTGTTTTTGTAAATAAAGTTTTATTGGAACATAGCCACTCTCATTTGTTTATGTACATGTCAATGGTTTGTGCTACAATAACAGAATTGAGTTGTTATCACAGACCATCTGGCTCCCAAAGCCTGAAATATTGGCTCTCTGTCCCTTTAGAAAAAAATTTGCTGACGCTGTTTCTATAAATAATATAATTTAGTTTGGTGCCTTTAGCCCCTAATTTAAAAAAGTTCTACTAAGCTTTTGATATTTCACTTCTACTTTATGGTTTATACATAGCAAGACTATTACCTACATTTTTTGAGGAAGAATTGTAAAAGATTCACGTTGATATTCATAATAATTTTGTATCAGGAAGAAGTCATGTAAGAAAATTATATGAAACATTTATATTTTACCTCATAGCATTTAAAAGATTTCTTCTTTCTGAGTAGTTAAGATTATGAATTAGATTGAATTAAGTGAGATGTAGCATTTTTTACTGTATTAATCATGTTTTTTTTAGTTGTATCTGAGACGGAAGTTTTACTAAAAGAGTTGGAGCAAATGCTGCAGCAAGCACTGCAACCCACAGTCACACCTGATGAGTCTGAAGAAGGATATGGAGGGGAAATAAATACGGGAGAAAAGGTAATATTGATAGTTATTTTCAGACCTAAATAACAACTTCAAATTATTTAAACAGTAGAATTTTTCCTCATTGTACATTTTAAATATATAAAAAACTATTTTTTATGTCTGAAATTTGAGTCCTTGATTATCATGAGGTAAATAATAAACTAGTAGCCTGTTAAGAAATCAAAACACATCTATCAGTATTTGAAAAAAAAAAAATCTGTGTTTAAGCAGAGGAGTTCTTTTAATTTTAAGTCTTTGGGATTGGAGTGAAGAAAGATGGACGATGCTCACTGTAGCTGAAGTAGGCCACTCCAGAGAGAATTCCCCCTTGCTACCAATCTTTACAGTCAGGAGAGGGGGCCAGGAAAACAAGAGCTCACTGGAAAATCTGCCCTGTCTGGGCTATGCACCGAGATAATCTCTACAGGGACAAACCTTATCATTAACATACTGGAGGTAGAATTTTTCACTGGAATAAGTTTTACTATTTATATGTAGACTCATCCTGTTTTAATTTTTTCATTTGGCTTTCTAGGTTGAACTCAGAAAGGCCAAATGTGCTTACTTTATTCAATGTCTCTGCAAATAAAATGAGAGTTTGTGATACAAGGCTCTGCCATTAGTACAGAGCAGTGATGTGGTAGGTATGAGACAAAGAAGTCATAGGGTAGACACTTTCATGTGCCAGTGCAGCTGTTCCCTAACTAGGAAAAAAATGGCAGTGAGGAGTTCTGTAACCCTAAGGCTTTATTCATTCATTTATTTAGATATGCAGTGTGCCTGGAGTCGAGAGAGCATATTGACACTGACTCTGAAATATAATCCTGTGTCCCAGTCCTGGTCCTGCCAATAAGGACTTGTGTAATTTGAAAAAGTGGCTTATCACTTACCTCAGAGGATTGTTTTGAGGATTAAATATGATAAACCAGGAAAAGTGCTTTCCATAGGAACAAACACCCCAGGTTTGGCTATTACTGCAGATGAGAATTGGCAATGGCAGTTGCTAGAGGGAATAAGTGCTTAGATTTTCTTACTTCATCTCTCTTTTCCCACATTCACACTTTGAGCAACTGCCTGTCTCCAAGTCTGTCTGTTCCAAGATGTAGAAAAAGATGGATTTATAAATGGACAAAGGGGTTTACACCGTTAAGCAGACTGCCCAGTTGTATGATTTCATTCAGAATGTCAACAAAAATAAAGATTATTCGTAAACATGTCCTTTATTGAGTTAGAAATTAATAAAATATACAGAATATACTACTGTGGAGATGAATGTGCTAAAGGAAAGTAATATTAACATTAAAAACTCCTACTGAGTTGAAAAACATAACTTTCTTAATCAGCATCAGCAATATCAATTTTTACCTGAATGTGCATGAGTTGTAAATGCTACTTTTCCAGTTGGATTCCTTTCTAAAAAAAAAAAAAAAAGACTTGTTTACTATATATGGGTCTTTTGCAGAACAAGAACTGTAGATTGGTATCATACATCCTACATACGTATAATTAATATACAAATTATTCTTTTTCAGCAAATTTGTGTTTTATTTGAATACCATATGGTTTTGTGTAGTGTTTTTCAGTGTTAGCAGTTTCTTTTAAAAAATACAGCCAGGTTGATCTTTAGAGCGATGTCCTGGAGCTTTTACAGGCACAGAATTGACTTCTGTTTTGCCATTATAAGTAGTATCTTGATAGAACAGAGAAATACTTCTGATTTTTATTTCTTAAGGTAAAATACATAGTTTTAACCCATCACCAGGCAGGAGCTTGCTTTTGTTTTAGATTCTTGTATTATTTTCTTCTTTCAAACAGCATTTCAGAAGTGTAAAAATTAGCTATTTTAACTGGTTAGTGGGCAGGTGAGTGCCTCCTGGTTACTGAATCATAAGCACTGTGCATACTGAGCTTTGTAAGTCTGGCATTCATGCCAGATTCAGGATATTTGGGTTCTTGTTCACTTTTAAATGAGGAGAATAACAGTGAAACCAACTAGCAAAGCTGGAGAAATTTCAGTTTAAAAGTAAATAAATAATCACATGTTGGAATTTATTTACTGTTATTAGAAATAATTAATATGTCTCCCAAAAGCAACTCCACTTAAAGCTGGAGATGTATTGTTTTTAGGAGAAGGTGGCCTCTTATAAGGTAAATACTCCAAGAAGAGACCCCTAAGAATTTTAAAGTCCTGAGCACGTTGACTCTCTGAGCAGACATTGTATAAGCTGTTTTCAAAGTTGTGAATTTGATGATGTTTTCATCATTCATTTCACCTATGAGGTTTCAAGTGGATTATCTCAGGCATTTACATCAATAGATGAGAATAACAACATGGAAAAAAGCTTATACACATAGATAATCAAAACTCATTTCTATTTGTCATTGAAATGTTTTATGAAATTATTTTCCTACATAGAGTCACCTTCCTAATTATGTTCTTCTTAAGCTAATATTAACATTGGGTGACATGCCCTGACTTGGCAAGCAATCAGAGGAAATAAATTTTAGATTTTTATAAATCCACCTGAATAATTCACAAATTGAATAATCCATATACAAATAAAATAGAGTTTACTGAAAAATTATTGATATAAAAGTGTACATTTTTGACATGTGAAAATATTTATATGAACTACATATACATTTTTTCCCTTGAATTACATGGGAAGTGAACTCTACCTTTAATAAGCTCTGAAGTTATAAAGCAAATAAATCCACATATGCATTGTTTTTACTAGTGTCCTTTCCCACTAAGCAAAAGCAAATTATCACTATTTTTAAGCAATGCAGATGACCTTTTGACAACATGACCACAGAAAATGTGACTAAAACAGTCACATTTTAAGTTGTATTCCCTATAACAATAATGTAAAAACTAAAACAACGTAGAAAACTCACATAGAATTAGAATTACCACTTTTTTCCAAAGCATAAAAATAAAACTAAAAATATATAAGGCTGGGGAATAGACACAGACCTAAATAATGACTTTTTCTTATATAAACACATTCACCCTACATTATACTATATATAGTGACTATTATTTGAACACTAGAATAACAGAAAAGTTTGTTTAGCTAATGTGGCTTGCGGAATTACTGACTACTTTATGTTTTGTTCCAGTAATCAGGTAAATTTGACGTAGTTCCGATTAATTATATGGTTGTTTTGCAGTTATCTAAATGCAGCCCAGAAGCTCCTGCAGGCAATCTGTTTGAAAACCACTGTGAAGAGGACTATCTTGTAATTGATGGGATAAAATTAAAAGCTGGAGAATGTATTGAGGATATAACTAATAAATTTAAAGAAATAGATGCTTTGATGTCTGAGTTTTATAATACTATACATTTTTAAGTTAATTATAAAAATATTGGCATCTTTATATTTATCCAAAGTTAAAACCTTAAAAATGTTTGGTGAAATAGGTATAAATTATACCAAAGTTTATATTTGCAATAACTTTCTACTTCATATTTTGAGAATGGCCATGATTTTTAGAGCCAGTCAAATGGTATTTAAGTTAGTGTTAAAAATTTAGAATTAAAAAACCCTGATAGTTGTATTTATATATTTCTTGTTTGCCTTAATTTTTAAATGGTTTGTGAAATTGCCTCACAAACATATGCTTTACAATGATTGTTTAGGCCGTTTATTCAAAAATGGATAACTTAAAATGGCTGGCCAAGCTATTATAAATCTCAGAGGTAATTCAAATCTAATAGACTTAGAGAATGTATATTTGTGGTGGAATCAAACTATTACAAAATAAAAGGAAATAATTTTTTAAATAATTGTTTAATAGAGTTGAAATTTTTCTTGTAAAACAAAATTTCACTTGCTACTTATACTAGAAACAATTATTTCAACCATGGTACCCAAAAACTGACTGCTTAATAGAGTCTCTGGGAGATTTTGGAAGATCAAAATCCTGGACCCTTCCCTGCTGAATCAGTGTCTTTGGAGGTATCATCAGAAAGGTGGAAAAATGTAATTTAACGTGTATACAGAGAAGTTAAACATATTCATTATAAGAAATCTAACAATATAGAAAGTAAAAACTACATCATTTTTCAGGAATTCTCTTGAACAGTTTTAGTAGATATCATTCTAGATCTTGCTTTACGTACACTGAAATGTGTGGGCATTCACACCTATCTTTAGTTCCTGCTCTAGCTCTCTCTGGCGGTACGGGGTGAGGAAAAGGGCATTCCAAGCACATAAAAACCAAAGCTTGAGGAGAGAAGTGCACGAGAGCATCACCACAGTGGTGAATTTTATTGTGAGTTGCCTCATATTGCTTTATCAAGGAGGCAGCACATGTATAAATATTAAAAACAAATAAGACACCAAACAACCAACACATCACTAAGGACTCATTGAGTGGGTTGCTTCTTTTAAGTATTTTTAGATTCTGTAATAATCACATAGACTGGAGAGTAGAGATAGACCCATAACAATGAAATATCTTATTTGTCAAAGTAAAGTGTGTATGTATTTCTGTCCTCCTTGTTTTCCTCATGTATTCCTTAGCATTCTGATATTGTGTCATAGGATGTTGAGTTGTAAAGCCTGTCTGGGTTCATATTTTACCTACTAACTTGTCTTAAGTCATATAACCAGTAAATAGAACTCTCAGAAGTTGAGTATATTTCTGTCAGGTTCTAGATCCCACGCCATTGATTACCATCTATAACGTCTTGATGAAGCTTTTAACTAGCTGGGTGGTGGAATGATAATCTAGTTTCCTCATGTGTAAAATGGGGATGGAACTATGTAAACCAAGCATTGTTGTGAGGAATAAATGAGATTCTTTTTGTGAAAGTGGTTTGTAAATCAATTTGATCTTCTGTTTTACTCTTTGCAAAGAGAACCAAGTATGTATTTAAGTATATTGCAATTAATCATTACTGAGATAAAATGTAACTATACATTTGAAATGATGACTTTTCTTTCTCTTATATTATTTAATCTACTACCCCTCAATATCAGAGTTCCTTCTTTCTCATTTATAAAATTAATCTTTGGAAACCATCACAAGCAACAACTCACTGTTGAGTTTTAGAAATGGTTTTAAATAACTTTGCTTTCTTAATAGACATTCAGTTAAATAGGGAAAGGTGGGGGAAAGTCTTAGTTTTGATGAGTAGTGGCTGGTTTCTCTGTCATTTTGGATGCACTTCAGCAAATGGCCAAATGCCTTTTGCAAGAAAGACATGCTATTTTTAAGGATATGTTCCTGCAGCAAGTTGGAATTTGGGCCCAGGCTCAAAATAACTTAAAAACCAGGAAGTTCACCAAAATATTTAATCAGCATTAGTCTCCTTCATTGTTGACCCTTCCTTATTATGACATATAATGAATTTCCATAAATCTTAAATTTTATGAAATGAACTTCTTGCAATTTGCAGAGGAAAAGAAGTCAGGAGAGAAATGTATTTATTTACTTTTATTTATTATACTTTAAGTTCTGGGATACATGTGCAGAATGTTCAAGTTTGATACATAGGTATACACGTGCCATGGTGGTTTGCTGCACCCATCAACCCATCATCTATATTAGTTAGGTATTTCTCCTAATGCTATTCCTCCCCTAGCCCCCCACCCCCAACAGGCCCTGGTGTGTGATATTCCCCTCCCTGTGTCCATGTGTTCATTGTTCAGCTCCCATTTATGAGTGAGAACATGAGGTGTTTGGTTTTCTGTTCCTGTGTTAGTTTACTGAGAATGATAGTTTCCAGTTTCATCCATGTCCCTGCAAATGACATAAACTAATCCTTTTTGATGGCTGCATAGTATTCCATGATGTATACATGCCACATTTTCTTTATCTAGTCTATCATTGATGGGCATTTGAGTTGGTTCCAAGTCTTTGCTATTGTGAACAGGGCTGCAATAAACATACATGTGCATGTGTCTTTATCATAGAATGATTTATAATCCTTTGGGTATATACCCAGTAATGGAATTGCTGGGTCAAATGTTATTTCAGTTCTAGATCCTTTGGAATCACCACACTGTCTTCTACAGTGGTTGAACTAATTTATACTCCCACCAACAGTGTAAACATGTTTCTATTTCTGCACATCCTCTCCAGCATCTGTTGTTTCCTGACTTTTTAATGATTGCCATTCTAACTGGCATGAGATGATATCTCATTGTGGTTTTGATTTGCATTTCTCTAATGACCAGTGATGATGAGCTTTTCTTCATATGTTTGTTGGCTGCATAAATGTCTTCTTTTGAGAAGTGTCTGTTCATATCCTTTGCCTACTTTTTGATGGTTTTTTTCTTTCTTGTAAATTTGTTTAAGTTGTTTGTAGATTCTGGATATTAGCCCGTTGTCAGATGGATAGATTGCAAAAATTGTCTCCCATTCTGTAGGTTGCTTGTTCACTCTGATGATAGTTTCTTTTGCTGTGCAGAATGTCTTTGGTTTAATTAGGTCCCATTGGCTTTCATTGCCCTTGCTTTCGGTGTTCTAGTCATGAAGTTTTTGTCCATGCTTATGTCCTGAATGGTACTGCCTAGATTTTCTTCCAGGGTTTTTATGGTTTTAGGTCTTACACTTAAGTCTTTAATCTGTGTTGAGTTAATTTTTGTATAACCTGTAAGGAAGGGGTCCAGTTTCCGTTTTCTGCATATGGCTAGCCAGTTTTCCCAACACCATTTATTAAATAGAGAATTATTTCCCCATTGCTTGTTTTTGTCAGGTTTGTCAAAGATCAGGTGGTTGTCGATGTGTGATGTTATTTCTGAGGCCTCTGTTCTGTTCCATTGGTCTATATATCTGTTTTGGTGCAAGTATCATGCTATTTTGGCTACTGCAGCCTTGTAGTATAGTTGGAAGTCAGGTAACATGATGCTTCCAGTCCAGCTTCTTCTTTTTACTTAGGATTGTCTTGACTATACAGGCTCTTTTTTGGTTCCTTATGAAATTTAAAGTAGTTTCTTATAATTCTGTGAAGAAAGTCAATGGTAGCTTGATGGAGATAGCATTGAGTCTATAAATTACTTGGATAGTATGGCCATTTTCATGATGTTAATTCTTCCTATCCATGAACATGGAATGTTTTTTCATTTGTGTTCTCTCTTATTTCCTTGAGTGGTGGTTTGTAGTTCTCCTTGAAGAGGTCCTTCACATCCCTTGTAAGTTGCATTCGTAGGTATTTTATTCTCTTTGTAGCAATTGTGTATGGGAGTTCACTCATAATTTGACTCTCTGCTTGTCTATTATTGGTATATAGGAATGCTTGTGATTTTTTGAACACTGATTTTGTAACCTGAGACTTTGCTAAAGTTGCTTATCAGCTTAAGAAGATTTTGGGCTGAGACGATGGGGTTTGCTAAATATACAATCATGTCATCTGCAAAAAGAGACAATTTGACTTCCTCTGTTCCTATTTGAGTACCCTTTATTTCTTTATGTTGCCTGATTGCCCAGGCCAGAACTTCCAATATTGTGTTGAATAGGAGTGGTGAGAGAGGACATCCTTGTCTTTACCAGTTTTCAAAGGGAATGCTTCCAGCTTTTGCCCATTCAGTATGATATTGGCTGTGGGTTTGTCATTTGTTATAAATAGCTCTTATCATTTTGAGATACGTTCCATCAGTACCAATTTATTGAGAGTTTTTATCTTGAAAGGGTGTTGAATTTTATCGAATGCCTTTTCTGCATCTATTGAGATAATCATGTGGTTTTTGTCATTGGTTCTGTTTATGCAATGGATTACATTTATTGATTTGTGTATGTTGAACCAGCCTTGCATCCCAGGGATGAAGCTGACTTTATCATGGTGGATAAGCTTTTTGATGTGCTGCTGGATTCAGTTTGCCAATATTTTATTGAGGATTTTTACATCAGTGTTCATCAAGGATATGGGCCTGAAATTTCTTTTTTTGTTGTGTCTCTGCCAGGTTTTGCTATCAGGATGATGCTGGCCTCATAAGATGAGTTAGGGAGGAATACCTCTTTTTCTATCATTTGGAATAGTTTCAGAAGGAATGGTACCAGCTCCTCTTTGAACCTCTGGTAGAATTTGACTGTTAATCCATCTGGTCCTGGGCTTTTTTTGGTTGGTATGCTATTAATTACTGCCTCTATTTCAGAACTTGTTATTGGTCTATTCAGGAATTCGACTTCTTCCGGGTTTAGTCTTGGGAGGGTGTAGGTGTCCAGGAAATTATCAATTTCTTCTAGATTTCTAGTTTATTTGTATAGAGATGTTCATAGTATTATTTCATGGTAGTTTATATATATGTGGGATCAGTGATATATACCCAAAGGATTATAAATCATTCTACTATAAAGAAACATGCACGTGTATGTTTATGGCAGCACGATTCATAATAGCAAAGACTTGGAACCAACCCAAATGCTTATCAATGACAGACTAGATAAAGAAAATGTGGTACATATACATAATGGAATACTATGCAGCCATAAAAAAGAATGAGTTCATGTCTTCTGCAGGGACATGGATCAAACTGCAAACCATCATTCTCAGCAAACTGACACAGGAACAGAAAACCAAACACCACATGTTCTCACTCATAAGTGGGAGTTGAACAATGAGAACGCATGGACACAGGGAGAGGAACATCACATACTGCGGCCTTTTGGTGGGTGGCTGGCTAGGAGAGGGATAGCATTAGGAGAAATACCTAACGTAGATGATGGGTTGATGAGTGCAGCAAACTACTGTGGCACATGTATACCTATGTAACAAACCTGCACGTTCTGCACATGTATCCCACAACTTAAAGTATAATAAAAAACAAAAACTT